CGCGCGCTGTCGACAGGCACATGCGAAGCCAGCAGCTGACGGAACACGATGCCGATCGTCGGCGGCATGTCGCTGAGGTTCTTGTAGACGTTTGTCGTAGTCACCGCCCCACGGGAGGTGGACGTCGAGCCCGCCGCTTTCTTGAGCAGCCTGGCCCCCTTCTGCTTGCGCTCCTCACGCGCCTCCTCATAGGCACGCTTAGCTCCCGAAGGCGGCGTGGTTGCTGGCGTAGGCGTAGCCGGCGTGGCTGGCGCTACCTGAGACGGCGTAGTTGCATCCGCTTTCGGGCCATCCGCTGCTGGCGTAGCTGCCGTCGGAGGCGGCGTTGGCGGAGTCGTTGCCGTCGCTGGGGTCGAAGTAGCTGCCGTCGGAGGCGCTGCCGTAGCTGCCGTCGGAGGCGCTGCCGTAGGTGCCGTCGGAGGCGTAGCTGCCGTCGGAGGCGCTGCCGTAGCTGCCGTCGGAGTCGTTGCTGTCGCTGGGGTCGAAGTAGCTGCTGACGACGGCTTTGCCGACGGGCGCGGACGAGGGATCATCCTGCCGTCCTCGGTCTTCACTACATCAGAACCTTGCGTCCCGTCATCACCACCTCCGAGGTCGACGATGATGTGCTTCTGCAGCGCGGGGCTAGTGAGCCTGGGAAGCCACGGCGTAGGCTTGATGACCTTCTCGTTCGACGCGACGTCGTTCTTCTCGAGCCCCGATGCCAAGTCCAGATCCGCTGCCAAAGTCGGCTTCTCCATCTGCCGTCGATGCAAGGCGTCCAACTCGCCCAGGCTGTCACGCAACATGCTGTCGCTGAGACCGAACTGAGACTGGGATGCCATCTTCGAGCTGGAGTCGGAAGCTCGCGCAGCTTGAGCCGAAATATGGCTAAGGAAATTTACGAGTGTTATTCGTCGGAGCCCGATCCATCAGGGAGCACGGGATTTGGCGCTGAGCTAAGCTATGCCGTGCAACGATCATCCTGAGTTGTTCGTGCCCTTTGACGTGCACGCTGAACTAAGCTATAATACCACGTGCAACGATTATCTTGAGCACGCCAAGCTAAGCTGTACCACTGACTTGTGTAACGTTTTATTGAACGCATTTTGTGGGGGAGCTAAGCTAAGCTATACTACCATGTGCAACGGTTACCTTGAGCACGCTAAGCTAAGCTAAGCTGCATCACCGACGTTTTAGTGAACGCATTTTGTGGGGGAGGAGGGGGAATACTATGAGGAGGAGGACGGACGGACGGACACCCAAGAGGAGGAGTGGGAGGGGACACGCGTGTGGAGACAAGAAATATCAGCACAGACGCAAAACAGGATTCGCTATTGCAAGCGCGGACGCTTAGAACTTTCCTGCCGCCCTCCTTTTCCTACCGATTTCTCCCTCCATCCCCCCCTGCCTTTCTCGTCCTTACCATGTTATTCCTCCATGCTTCTGTGAGGCGCCCCCTATCCCATACCCGAATATCCTCATGGAGCTGCTCATCATCAGCATCCTCCGTATCTTCGCCATCACCCTCCTCGCCCTAGATTTTCATACTCGCCGTCATCATCTGGCTTCCCTCAACATATAAAGTTAACGTGAGAAAAGAGACCGTGCGCCTGCGTGTCCCATGGCACTTGTCACGAAGCACGATCTGCAAATTCGGCGTCAACGTGTTCATCAGAATCTGAATGGGCCTGCGCATAAGTTCAGCGCCCAGCACTTCGTCAGCAGCAGCGTCAACGGTAACCATATGAATACGACGTCGTACAGTGTTGTCTAAATCAGGAACGTGTTCTTCGTTTCTTGAACCGATGTACTTTGTAGAAAACTCTGTTATTATCTGTTGTGTAGCTTTCACGATGCCCTCACCACCAGGGGCAGGATTCACAACCATGCCAAGCATTCCAGATCGAACTTTGAGGTCAGCGTTTACTGCAACAAATCTGCAAACCAGACGGCTCTTGCGAGCATCTCGCATCAATGATATCGATTTAACTGTTCTGAAGAATGATTGGTCTTTTCGCTTCGAGGCTTCGCCTAAGCAGGTAACCATTTTTCGTAGCTTTCCACTGGATCCAACTTTCTCCAAACCTTGATGGGCTGAGCAATTATGGAATAGAATATGGTCAAGAGCACGACGACATTCACCGACAGGTGGTGCAAAAGGGTTGTCTCCGCCAGCATTTCTTAGATAGTAGGAAACAGCTCTTCGGTGGAATCTACTTTTAGCGTGCCGACGTAAGTGCCCAATCTGCAATCCAGCCGAGACCACGCCATCAACATATTGCTTGATATGAGGCGGGGGCTCACCTCCGTGTATCTTAGTAGCTGCCGCCGCACACACGCGACAGCCAATGCCCCAACGCCCACACTGCCGCGTCCCCGCACTTATCCAAGTTCCAAGAGAATCGTTCTCACTGCTGGTTCTCCCCCAAGAAGACGAACACCATTTCTGTTTGTTGCGAGTCCAAATTTGTTTTGCTGAAATTCGGGGGCCGCGTGGCATAGTCCTTGAGCCGAAACGGCTCGTGGAACTTCCGACCTAAGTCCGCCGACCCCTCGCTGGGCCACCAGGAATTGCTGCCGTACTTCAAGGGGGTCGCCACGGTTGGATTCCTTTCGAAACTCGGGTCAAAACGCACCGTTCTTTGCACATATTGCATATCATGTCGCACCAGCCTTATCGTTTGACGCCTAAGCTAAGAAAGTGTGTACGACTTGATTGTTTCGTCGTGTTGAACATATCTAGGGCGTGACTGATTTGGTAAGTTTGTTGATCTCGCAATCGAGCCCGCTATCGATACCACGATCGATCTCACTATCGGTCTAACTATCGATCTCACCATCGATCTCATTATCGGGACACCTAGCATCCCCCTCCTTCTCCTCTTGGTCCCCCAGTGCTCCTCCTCCTCCTCTCCCCTTAGGTCCCCCTCCTCCCCCTGATGTTGACCCCGCCAATCATAATTTAATAACCTGTAACCCCGTCTCCCCTTCTCCCACTATGTTGGCCCCCCAGTCATAACCCCGCAACCCCGCTAAGCGAGGGCAAGCTTCGGCGGCCCCGATGGCGGCGCGTCGCGCCCGCCCATCCTGCCGCGCCGCTCAGAGGATTGCCCCACGCGCGCCCAGGGGGCCCCATGAGGCCGGCCGCCCAAGGCATCCCGCCCCGACCAGCTGTCCCGCGGCCAACGCCATCGCCGGGCCGAACGGCGTCGGCCACTCCGCCGGCGGCGGCGACGGCCCCGCCGTCCAGGGCATGGTCAGTGGGAATGGCGCCGCCTGCGGGGTGCCTGCCTTCGGCGCACCCCCCGACGCCTTGCGCGTCGCGCCGTCGAACTCCTCGCGGCCGGATTGACGGGGGCCAAGGCTGGCCGGGGCCTTCGCCAGATGCGCCGCCACCCCGCCATGAGAGGCGGCACGGCGGTCCTCGCGGCTCGGAGAGGGGCCGCGGCGGCGGCCCACCGAGCGCGGGCGGCGCCGATCGCGGCTGCCACTGCGGCGTCGGTCCCTGCGGCGGCGGCCCCGGCTCTCGCTGGACGCCCTCGGCGTGCGGGAACGGGTCACCAGCTGGCGCGCCATCGCCTCTGCGCTACTGCTGCGGTCGCGGGCGTCGGTGCTGCACCGAGTCTGGCCTGAGCCCCGGCACTGCGTCAGAAGGGGGGAACGACGCCATCGCGGCGGCGACGGGGCAGACGCGCGACGAGCTGCGAGCGGGAGAAAGGGGGGGAAGGGTGGGGGCGGACAAGGGCGGTTGGGGGGGAGAGCAGGCGATGCAAGGACCCCCCCAATTGTTCGCCACCGCTCGGGCCGCGGCCGGCGAAGATGGCGACGGCGCTCTCCCCCGCGCTCGCGCCGGCCAGTGCTGGATTTCCCCTGGGGTCCGCGGCCCCGTCGCGGCGGTGCCGCCCGCGCCCCGCGTGGCCGAGTTCGGCCGGAACTCGGCCACGCGCTGCGCGGGCGGCGGCGCCCTCCCCCAGCGCGCCGGCCCCCCAGCGGCCCCCCCCCCCGAGTCCCCCACGAGCAGAGAACAGGGGGAGGGGCGGGAGGCAAGTTAGGTGCATTCGCGTCAACATCTGACAGCCTACCCCTCCCTCCCATCCCTTACCATGGCGCTGATTTTCTCTATCCGCGGACGCTTGTCGTAGCGGACCTGTGGCTCCGCGCGCGTGTGCGTAGTGGGTGGTGGTGCGCGTGCGTGCGTGCGTGTGTGCGTGGTTGTGGTTGTTGTGGTGGTGGTGGTGGTGGTGTGTATGTGTGTGTGTGCGTGCGTGTGTGCGCGTGTGCTGTGGTGTGAAATGGTGTGGCGTCTTGGTGCTTTGGTGGTGGGCCAGGTGCGTACGTGCGTGATGGCGGTGGTGGTGGCGGTGGTGGTGTGTGTGTGTGTGTGCGTGTGTGTGTGTGTATGTGTGTGTGCGTGTGTATGTGTGTGTGTGTGCGTGCGTGCGTGCGTGTGTGTCTGTGTGTGCGCGCGTGTGATGTGGTGTGACGCGGTGTAGCGTGGTGGTGGTGGGTGGGGTAGTGCGGTGGTGGTGGCGGTGCGCGGTGGTGATGCGCGTGCGTGCGTGCGTGCGTTGGTGGGTGGAAGTGGCGGTGGGTGTGCGTGCGGCGGGGCGGGGCGTGGTGCGGTGCGGTGGTGGCGGGCGGATGGGCGCGCGAGAAAGAGGCCCGCGCTGGGGCGAGAACGCCATCCTGAACGACGGAGGCAAAACACCGATCCGAAAATGAGGCCCACGCTGCAGCGGGAGCACGATTCGGAACGATTCGGGAGCAAAAATGAGGCCGGCGCCTCAGCGAGAGCAGCATTTTGATGAACGCAGGCGAAAACCCAACTCCCGGGAATCCTGTGTGTAAAAAAACAATACGCGGGGGGGGGTCGGCTACTTTCAGGCCGCCTTCGAGGGAGCGAGCGAGGGAGGGAGGGAGGGAGGGAGGGAGGAGGAGGAGGGAGGAGGGAGGAGGGACGAGGGAGTAGGAGGAGGAGGAGGAGGAGGAGGAGGAGGAGGAGGAGGAGACCCCTCTCGGAGGCGTTGTTCCAAAAGGAAGGCCTGGACATGGCGCTTGAGAACTTCCAGGCGGACGCGGCGCGCATGAGGCCCCGTGGACGGGGAGCACACCCATCCAGGAGTTAGAAATAATCACAGACACAAGAATTAGTCGATTCCCCAGGGAATAGCGGAAACTATGGGAAATGGACAGGGAGACGAACATCAGGAAAATAGAAAAAAACGTAGGGAATCCTTGGACTTGTGTCTATTCATGTGTGGATCTTTGGGACCATTCACCCATGTCCACCGCGCCTCGCGGTCCGGACGCGTCGGCCTCGACCCAGGCGGATAGTTACAAGGGCGGCTCCGTGCGGATGCCCCGCGCGGAATGTCTAGGCCTCCCAGAAGGAGTCCGAGTAGATGGGGCCGAAGGATCGCGCAGCATCGACGATGCATCGGCGATGCGTCTCCAAGCGGAGCCCGATTTACCCCACGCCGTGCATCGCCGACGCATCGCCGATGCATCAGCGATACATCGGCGATGCGGCGCGATCCTCCGACCCCATCTACTCGGACCCCATCCAGGAGGCCGCTCGAATGCGTCCGTGAGATCCGCGCCTCCACGGGACCGCGCCTCGGCGTTGAGTCCGCGGGGGCATGGACCCTGACATCCGCCGATGTGATTTTCTCAGCTCGCGGCTTCAGGGGTCCCGACCGGTTCCCCAAGGGCAGTCCTCCGCCCTGGATCCATGGTTTACATCGGCCCGGGGGCCTGGTTGCGGGCACTGGAGGCCGAAATCGTGGAAGAGCGCCTGGGTGGGAAAAAATCACATCTCCGGAGATCTGGGGACGTGGACGTGCTCGCCACTCGCGGCAGGTCGTCCCTGAGGGAGACCGACAGGCTCCTGGAGGAGCAGGCCGCCCTGGCGGAGTTCCGGCAGCTGGGCGCGAGCCCTGCGGCCCAGCAGCAGTTCCTGAACCAGCAGCGCGTCATACAGGAGCTCGGCGGTGCGCGAAGGGAGCTCGGGAAAGGGGCTGCTGCGAGGTCGTTGGACTCGGCTCGTTTAGCTCGTTCGCTCCTGGTGAAGGGTCGGCAGCCGCTGTGGACTTTGATGCAGGACGGTTCCTTTCCCGACTCCGTTCTTAGCCAAGGTGCGGCGAGCAAGCAAGCAGAAGGGGGCAGCCCGCAGACTGAAAGAGCTGTACAGATCTGTACAGTCGAATCTGGGACGGGTAACCTTCCCAAGGGCACCCCTGCGTCCGTGCCTCTTTGGTCCATCCTTGACTACTTTCGACGGCCCGCCGCGCTCGACAAGGCTTCAACACTGGCATCCATGGGGCTTGCATCGTCACCGCGCATCCTTCCTATCAGTTTTCACTGCATCGTCGGAGATCTGTGAGGGGAGGGCGCGCGGGGGAGGGCGGGCGATCGGCCAGAGGGAAGAGGGGCCTCTTGGGCGCGACCGCGCCGGCTGGGCGCTGCGGGCAGCCTGAAGCCTCTCGTGCGCGCCACACCCAGCTGGGCGGGCGGCCGTCTGCCCAGATCTCCAACAATGTGCTTTCGGGCTCGAGCCTCGAGGTCTGTAGGGTTCTACTCTTGGGCTCTAGCCTTCGAGGCTTTCGGGCAGGAGCCTCGAGGTTCGAGGCTTTTTGGGCTCGAGCCTTGAGGCCTCTACAGGGAACTCTTGGGCTCGAGAGAGGCTTTCGCCGCCACGGCTGGACTCCCGGATTCCTCGGAGCATTGGATCACTTGATCAGTGATCCAGCGTGGCCGGATCACCAGATTACTGGATGATCCGTGATCCATGGATACCAGATCACGGGATCACCACATCAGTGATCCAGACAAGCAGGCTCATTAGATCATTGGATCACCGGATCACCCGATCAGTGATCAAATCACCAGATCATAGGATGACCGGATAACCAGATCACTGGATCCGGGGATTAGATATCACCGTATCACCAGATTAAAGGACCGGGTTACCGAATCGATCCAATCCCCAAAAAATGATTCATGGGTTTACGCCACACCGCCGACCCCTTGGGATATCTGGGAAGGCCTTGGGTGGGTGGGGGTTCGTGCAGCATTAACAACCTGGCTCTCGCTATCTCGCGCGGGGCCTTTATCTTGTGCGCTGCCCCTCATGTCGCCGCGCCAAATTGCCGCCGCTTGCTCCGGCCTCGCATCAGGTCCACCCTCAGCAACTTTGTACGTTTGTATGTACTAATGATCGTATATATACACATAAACATATGTATATATACAGAACATACAATCGTATATTGTACACACACGCGTACATAACATGGGCAGGCATGCGTGCACAGAGGTGGCACTGCGCGGTGCCATTCGACAGCGTGTCTTTGGGCTCAAGAATTGGCTCGTGGTGTGTTCATTCGGCGCCAGCGACAGCGGATGATGATGAGGCGCCAGCGACAGCGGTCACGAGCAGATCTCAATTAGTTTTTGCGTGTGCCGGGCATGTACAAATATACGCCAGACGATACACGGGCGTCCCCCCGCAACGCAAGTATGTATATGTATATATACACATATATATATATATGCATATATATATATACATATATATACATATATATACATATATACAGATATGTATACATATGTTTGCATGTATATATATATATGTATACATACGTAGGGGCGTCCCCCTCACCTGATGGCTCGTGGGTTTCTTTCCCGAAGATACTGTGCAACGTCTTTGAAGCACAGGTACGGATCGGACGTCGCCGACGCATTGCGGCGAGTCTCACGCGCGCACGGAATCAACAACGGCGAGTTGAGCTGCTGCGACGCAAGTATGGGGAAAGGAGGAGGCATTAGGTGGTTCAGAAAAGGAGGAGCGACTAGTGACGCAGATCCGTTTCTTTGAGCCGCGACATAGTAGGAGGACTCCGACGAAAGCCCGGCGAGGAGGATCTCGCAGCGTGCGGACGTCCCACCGCGCAGGGTGGAGGTTTTGAAGCCAATTTTTGGTCCTCCGGACCAACGGTGGTGCCTCTTGGAGGGTTTCATCCTCGGAGGCGCGTTGGAGGCTTTGGACAGATCGAGACCAGATCAGAAAAAGTCCAAACCCAATTGTCGTGTGAGGATAATCGCGCTTTGCGGTCTGGCGGTGAGTGCGCATTCTTTATGCGGTCGTGGTAGGGGCTGGAGGATGGTCACGCTCGTTCGGCGCAAGATCCTTTGGCAGCCAGGGCTTCCTCCGACAAGACCGTTCATGCGTGTTTCGTTGGGATGCTCGGGTGTCACTGCGACATGAAGTTTCGATGCCAGCGGCTGTTTCGCAATCTATCCAAAGTTGCCCCACGAGATTCGTGCATTGCGGCCTGGGTTGGCAATGCGTTTTGCATGCGGCTGTTCCAAGGGCGCGAGGAAGGGCACGTTTCGCGCGGCGGCTGCTCCTTTGGCAACGAGGCTCCCTTTCCCGCGCCTCAGGAAGACCATGTGCTTCTTGCAGTTTGTTCCAGTGTTGCTGTGGCTTCAAATGCCGATGGCAGGGTCCACCCCGCAGTCCACTCCAAGGTTGCGCCAGGATAATCGCGCCTCGCGGCCTGTGTTGGAGAGTGATCTTCTTGCATGGGTCATGGGGGGGAGCCGATGGCGACGGCAAAACGGATTAGTGAGGGGTTCTTGTAGCGCGTCAGTGGTGGCAGGCGTTCGGCCAGTGGCTGGTAGCTTGTGCAGCGTCACTTTTGTACATCTAGATGATGCATGGGCGTCCCCCCACATCGCAGGAATACGTATAGGCGTCCCCCTCGTATGCTTCCTGATTGTAGCCTTGTCGAACATATAGTGCAACGTCTTGCTGCGCAGGTCAACATCGCTCTTCGCCGATGGACGGCGGCGAGGCCCACGCGCGCGCGGAATTATGTCCTGGCTAGTCCAAATCCACGCGCGGATTTTTCCCGCCAGCGCGAGTGCCTCCTGGAAGGCTGTATCTCTGGAGGCCCGTGGGAGAGTGTGGACAGGGCGAGGATCAATCCCAACAGAAGTCCACGCCCCAACGGCCGTTCAGGATTGTTCCAGTCTTGCCGTGGCTTCAAATGCCGATGGCGGGGTCGACCCCGCAGCCCACTCCAAGGTTGCGCCAGGATAATCGCGCCTCGCGGCCTGCGTTGGAGAGCGATCTCCCCCCATGGGTCATGGGGGAAGGGGGGGGGGGCGCGAGAATGATCTCAGCGATCGGCGGTGGACTCTGCGACACCAGTAAAAAAACGCGTTCGGTTTTTCCCGACCTAGGCCCTGCCTAGAAGGGTTCTTACTCTCTTAGCTTAAAGGGGCGGGCAGTGGAAATTGCCCCGGGCGGTTCCCCCAGTCCCCGCCCCGCGGTTCCCCCAGGTGCGGCCTCTTAGCTTAGCGTTGCTTAACTCATCTTAGCTTAGCTTAGCTTAGCTTAGCTTCATCTCAGCTTCGCTTAACTGTAGCTTAGCTTTAGCTTAGCGTAGCTTAGCTTTAGCTTTAGTTTAGCTCATCTCAGCTCAGCTTAGCTTTAGCTTAGCTTTAGCTTGCTTTAGCTTAGCTTTAGCTTAGCTCCAGCTTAGCTTTAGCTTAGCTTTAGCTTAGCTTTAGCTTACATGCAGCTTACCTTTAGCTTCAGCTTAGCTTTAGCTTAGCTTCAGCTTCAGCTTAGCGTTAACTTAACTTCAGCTCAGCTTGAGCTCAGCTTTAGCTTATTTACAGCTTAGCTTTAGCTTAGCTTAGCCAAGCTTAGCTTTAGCTTAGCTTTAGCTTAGCTTTACCTTAGCTTTACCTTAGCTTTAGCTTAGCTTTAGCTTAGCTTTATATTAGCTTTAGCTTACCTGCAGCTTACCTTTAGCTTAGCTTTCGCTTAGCTTTAGCTTAGCTTTAGCTTAGCTTTAGCTTAGCTTTAGCGTAGCTTTAGCTTAGCTTTAGCTTAGCTTTAGCTTAGCTTTAGCATAGTTTTACTTTAGCATTAGCGTAGCTGCAGCTTACCTTTAGCTTAGCTTTAGCTTAGCTCTAGCTTTTAGCTTAGCTTTCGCTTAGCTTTAGCTTAGCTTTGACTTAGCTTTAGCTTAGCTTTAGCTTAGCTTTACTGTTACTACTAATGCTGCTTTCCTAGGGGCTTTAACTCCTAGGTAGGGTCGCACTGGGATAATTTTGTCTACTGCACGACGAGCGCTGAGGTGTCACGATGCCATGCCCGACGCAGGTCCTCCTTCAGAACTCCCCAATGCCGAAACCGTTGTGGCTCCACTGCGCAGCCCATGAGGAGCGCCTTTTTTTCGGCTCCCGCGGGAGCGGTGACGCATGGGTGATGAGGCGGCGCTGGACCCCGCGTCGGCGTCGGCTTCGGCAGCCGCTGCCGATGTGCAAGCGCTCCCGCCGCATGCTGCTGCTGCCGATGATGATGAGGCCTGGGGCTCGTGGACGTTGTCTGCAGCGGATGGGAACACTCGCGCGGCGCAGCCACAGACAGCGACGCCACAGCCGCACTCGGAGCCACAGCTAGCGCTTGCGCAGCAGCAGACACCCCAACCAACGTCAGTGGCTCTGCAGCGACAGCCGACACGAGTAAAGAGAGCGCCTTGCCACAGGGCACCATCGCTGCAGCCATCGCCTCGGCGACAAGAAGCACCTCGACCAGAGAAAGCGCGCCCGCGCGATCAGTGGCAGCCGAAGCCCCCGCTGCATCCGCCACCACCAGAACTACAATCAGCGCGGCTGATTGTGGAGTTGCAGCCATTCCCGCAGCATCCGCCACTACAACCACAGTTAGGGCAGCCGCGCGGTGAGCTGCACTGGGCAGTTCCGCAGCTTCCGCCAGCGCCCCCAGTGCCGCCGCCCCCAGTGCTGTTGCGGCCAACGTCAACTTGGGTTCTGCCAAATGCGCAGCGTGGCGGGCGAGCAGAGGCGTTGTCACCAGTGCCTGCGCCAGCGCCGCCCGCGCCGCCGCCAGTTGACCTCAGGGCCCAGGGCTTGCCAAGGTCCCCAGCGACTCCGAGTCCTCCG